AACCTTGCCACGCAAACCCAACACAAGGGCCATAAGTTAATACCATGGTATGTTCTAATGGTGATTTCTGCAAGTCATTATTGTTAACATTTCTGAGATTTAAAGCATTTACATCAGTAAACTGAGGCCACTTTCTATGACTCTTAAATACTATATGTTATTGCAAACTTGACACACTATCTCAAAAACATAACTTAAAAGTCAGTGAAAAATCTCCTGCAATGTGAAGAGACCAACACAAGCAACCTCTTAATTTCTGAAATATCAATACAAAAATTGCATTTCTGTTTTTAAATTATTCTACAAATCCCATTTAAGTGAGTAACAAGGGCACTATAATGAATTCTTTCTGGCTTAGTAAATCATACCATTTGTGCACACACTAAATGCTGACCAAATTCATTAAAAGCAATAATCACAAATTGCTTGGGGTTTCTATTCACTATTAACAGGCTTTAAATAAATGCCTATGAGATTTAGGAACAAAAGTTGTTTTTGAAACTTCCCTCCAAGGTTTTAATAAACTTAATGAGAAGGGGAAACTCTAAAAACCTCTAGAAACCCGAGTATTTTTCACTTGTAAATGCTGAAACACTGGAAACATACACAGTTCTGCTACTGCAAATGCTTTTTAGTCATAACTAACTAGTCCTCTTTATTTCCAATGAACATAATATTCACACTACATTTATTATTTACCTCTGCAGCCCACATCCCTCATCACAGACATTCAGCCTTCAGATTCACAATTTTCTGCTGTGTTGATGCCAATTCTCCTGCCTGTAACCTGCTGGCAGCTCTGTATCCCCTCTCACACAGGAGGTCAGGATGAAATGAGAGCTGTAACCCAACATCACTCCATAAAACAACCTAACTCCTTCACTGGACCACACAGAGCTTTTCCTTAGGGACTAAAACCCACTGATCCATGCAAATGTTCAGTGCAGCCCACCTAAATTAATGAGAGAATGGCTATTTCTCTCATTCTACACACTGCTACAGAACATAAGGAATTAAAACATACATAGTATGTTGGGGTGAAAAGAAAACAATCTTTTAGAACTACTGGTTTTATTATTTTAAAATCTGCGCTGATTAAGTTAGGCATGTGCAAACAACCAGGGAAGAAACAAGCACTTATGTCAACTGGTTCTTTTGTCCTCGTGTTTTTAAGTGAATGCATTGCTGTAACCCAGCTTTTTCATTTATATGAGACTCAACTGCCAGCAACCTTCCCCTTCCCTTAGAAGAAACTAATAGAAAATTTAGGCTATAAGAAAAGGACTTCTATTTCAAAGAGATGGTTGGTGAGCAGTAAAGCAGAAATGCAGGCCTTGATTCATTGATGTATTCACATTTCCAACAAATACCTATTTGATAAGGCCATTTCCTCACTCACAGTCAGACACAGTACAAAAAAATTTCCCCTATGAGTCACTGATTTATATTAGTATTAATTATTTTACCTGTAATAAACACGGAATGTCTGAATTTCTTCTTCTAATTTTTTGCACTGTTGAAGAGCGGCCTCTTTTTCTTGTTGCAAGACTATCAAGTCTGCCTGCAAAACAGTAAACAAATGACAAACTGTTTATTCAGAATATCCATATTGCTTTGAAAACATAACAATCCTTTATGCATTCATTTCAGCATTGCTTTATTATAATTACGTATATAAAGTTATACTGTTTTGTAATACTGCTTATTTAATTCTTATGAAAAAATCCTTTCTTGTTCTAGTGTTACAATTTTTTAAAGTTTTTTTTACCCAGCAGGATGATGTTTTGAATGGCTTCCCTCATGTATACAGTACACTTTTTTGAACGGCTAAGGTTAGACCTCTTCAGTTCAGCCAAGTGTTTCTCAGGAAACTTATTTGATATTGATACAATATTCCTATAGTGCAAAACTGTTGACCAACATATAGAGAGTGAAGCAAGGCACTCAGCCACAAACTACTGATGCGCAACTCTTGGCCTGCACATGGCTCTCCGGCTGTGAAGCGCGGTTCCTGTGCTGGGAGCCGCTGGCTGATGTTTCCGGCAGGAGAGCGGCCGGATAACCCGCACCCTGAGCGGCGGCAGGCGACGAGCAGCGGGGGCTGCTCTGGGATCTGGGTGCGTTCTCACCCAGGATCTGGTTTATAGCAGAGCGAGGGAATCCCTGAGAAACTGCTGTCATCTCCCACCTGTGAACCCTCCCGGATGTCTCCCCACCCCGTGTTTATTCACACCGAGCTGTGAAGCGCTTGTGAGTCATGGCCATTATGGAAATTGCAGCATGCGGCTTGTAAGGTCAGGAAGGTAGCCAGCCCCAACACGGCCTTACGGTTAAAGAGGAGGTAGGAGAAATAAGTACTCATGTATATTTAATATGGCTCTACAGCTTAATCATCATTAATTTTAAAATGTCCAGTTTCAATAGCACTGCAGGACTCCCTTGAGGGACCAGGTACCATATAAATTATCTTAAAATCAGCGGATGATTAATTATTGTAACAACAAGTAAGACTGGGCTTGCACAGCAATTCTTTGACACATGAGCCTGAGCATTGGGCTGCTCTCCAATGTTTCTAATTCACGGTGTAAGTTATTAATTGTACAAATTGTAGAGCCCCAAACCAAGAGGCACATATGTGAGAAACACTGACTGCGGATTCTGCCAACTCTTCAGGACAGCGTTGTGGAAAAGTTTCTCGGTAAATTAAAGACCTGTTACATGAGCTACAAACACATGAAGGGAAATGCACAGAGTTCAGCCTCCAGCTCTGCCAGACTCGCTGTATAATCATGAATAACTCTGTCGTATGCCTCAAAATCTTTCTCCTAAAACAGGGCTCCCACTTGCTTGTTTCCTGTTTGTCTGTTAAGACTGCAAGTCTTCAAGGCAGGTGTTTTACTGTTTACTGTCAACTCCCAGTCATCTATGGGCAATTTATTCTGCTGGTTGATTAATCATGTCCTGGATACATGGCTGACTCCTGGCAAATTTTTATTAAACACCGCATTGCAGAAACGCAGCTACACAACCAGTCTCTGCACCGTGCTGCTCAGCATCTCACGTTGCACCCAGGGTTTTCCATTGCCGGGGTACAGGACCCACTGCTGTAATTGCTCCTGTAACAGACATTCATAACATTTTAACAGGAAGTTCCCTGGGGAATTAAAAAACCCTTTCTTACTATATGGAGGGTTCCTTCAGCTTTAAAAGCAGAAAGCGTTAATGTTTAACCTCTGAGTGACAGTGGTTTAGAGCTTCTGATACTGAACACAATGTACTGGATGCTGGCAAGCCCTAACTCCTGTCAGCAAGAGGTTAAAATCCTCTGCAGGTGAGCCTCTTGCCCAGTGCTGCTTGCTGCCTTGCAAGCAGAACTCACAGAACACAAGGATGTTAGCCAAACCAAGCTATTTTCTGTAATTATACTGTTCTGTAGGTGAAACAACATTCTTAAAAATTGGAAAACACGCTTGAATCAAAGTAGGTGGTTTGTTCTAGAGGCCAATAATTAACATCCTTGCCAATTTTCAGTGTACTGTGAAGTGTGATTGAAATGGTAGACTGGAAGGAAATGTTTGCAGCTGACACACCTACTCATGGAGAGATTAACGGCTAGTCTCTTTGGAGAACTATCATAAAAAATACACCTTATGTTCCACTTGCTTTTCAGGACAAAAGTCAGAAGGCACTAGAGTCTGCAGACTCTTATTTATATCAGTTTTTCAGCAGAGAAAACTACACTGATTTAACTGCATTTGCATCTGGGTCTGCACCAGTAAAAATAACAGCAGAATCAGCTGCTTTGGATTTAAAAACACAAAAACAAAAAACAAAGACTGAAAGCAAGAGAAGTAGATATTTGCTAACCTCCTCAGTGGCATGTAGTGGGGTTGATACTAGGGAACTGCATGAGACCAACAAACATTCAAGCATGGGAGTTTTTGTGCACAGCATGCAGCCCTGCGACAAGACGACCCATCATTCACAGGCCTGAAGATGGTAAACACAAAGAAATGACTCAAATATCCTCTCAAAAGAGAGATGCCTGCCTTCACTAGAAGAAGGAAAGCAAAACAGCGCACATCACAAAGTTAAATTGCTAACAAAAACAATGGTGCCTGCACTACTATAAAACATTTGGAAGACTCCTGTAATGTATATTGAAATCCATCCATAGCGCACATGGCAAAAATCCTACATGAGCTCACCTCTAGTAATAACAATAGCTGCTTGGGAACTTTTTAAAAAAATATTATTCCTTTGGAAAATGTCAAGCTGTGGAAATCAGAACTCTTCACAGAAATGGATCAGTTTTGGAAGGTAGGGTAAAGAAGGAGCAACAAGAAGAAAAAGAATTACACTCAGGTTCCTCTAGTGGAGGTTTTCCCTAAAAAGGTCAATTTAGAGGTGAGGTCGGTCACCACTTTGGTACAGGGGCCACCCTCAGTGAAGTTCCTGTTTAACCCTGAAAGGGTATTCTGATCACTGGTATATGGTCTTCTTCTCACAATTTTGTTTTGCCCACAAGTTCCTGCACTTTCATATTTGGTTCAATGTGGATAGATCCTCTCTGTCCCCCACCCCACTTTCCTGCAAAAGAAAATTCCTGTTTCTACAATTGTCCTATTTTGCATTTTAGCAAACAGTCACTTGTGGAAAAATTCAATTTTTCAATTAAATCTAAAAGCTAATTGCTACATATCAAACTTAAAATAGCCAGATCTTGACTAAGAAAATCTCATTACTGATCCTTTTGCTGTAGCTTTTGTTTCAAAACATCTAAATGAACAATGCTATGTGTTTTCTTAACAGAAAGGCTGGAAAAATACAAGACTTAAGCAAAGGAGAACAGGGTAAAACTAATTTTTATCTCTTCATAATTTCTCTAGGTCAAACATGAGCACCCACAACTCTCATCTAAATTGAAAGAGGTATGAACGAACAGCATCCTATGCTGTCAGGTTCCCTGTGGGTGAAAGATGGCTTTTCTAATGCTTTTCAACATCCAACAGAAGGAAAAAAACATTCAATGAACTTGAGTAATAAAGCTTCATAGCTTTATCTTTTATACTGATTTTTTTTCTCACGCATTTACAGAGAGCATATAAATTTCCATCTATATATAGAAAGCATATATTTTCTTTTCCTTACATAGGCTAAACAAACAACCTTTTCTGCTACCTCTCAGTAAGCAGGCTCTCCATTCTCCTGATCACCTCAAACCCATCTCTCATCAGTACTCTGCTAGCAGTATGTCCTAACTCCAGTGGAAACATCTTACCTGATATATTCTTGCATCCCTTTCACTCACAGTCACCCTCTGATACCTGTCTGTTCTCCTGCCCACTGGTATTACGCAGCTAACAGTGGAAATTCTTATTCATTCTGAAATGATGATACCTTACACTTGGTACCATTGAATTCCACCCCACTGCTTTTATTTTTCCAGTGCTTGAGGCCATTCCAATCTTTCTGCAAGATAGCTTGAACTTACTTTGTATTAATAATATCTCCACTTTGTATTAATAACATCTCCCAGCTCTGCGTCACCAAGCAATTTTGTTGGTACACTGTTGCTTTTCATGCCAAAGGTTCTCAATGACAGCATAAAAGAAAACTGGTTCAGCACCAACTGGTGAGAAATTGGAGAGAAATTCCACTAGTGAAATCCTTGGACCTTAACATTTCTCCTTTCAAAGCTGTTTGCTGTTGCCTTCCTGCTAACTAGTTCCTTATTGCCTTTGACTAATCCCTCATCTCCTTCATGGGTACATGACATTTTGCAGACAGACATGAGCTCAACATGCCCATCCTTCCAAACAAGAGATGCTAGGTGAACTCAGTTAACAGCAAGCAGCATTTCCCACATTAAGCTTGTGCCTGCTTGTAAAATAACAATATACACATTCTCCACTGTAATTAATAATTTTCCATATGGCACCACATATAAGCTTATGTGTCAGCTTATATTTAATAAGTTTCTTTGTCTAAATAACTAGTTATCATACCAAAGAAGAATTCTTGCATGATCTTACTTGGGTGAAAGTTGTACTTCAATTCACGGTTGATGGATCCATGCTTTAAAAACATTTTCCTTCCAAATTTACTCTGAAGCCTCATAATAAAGACTGACTGGTCTACAATTGTCAGAATTATGGTTTTTGCCTTTCTAAATATAGATGCTGCCTCTGCTAATTCCCTGTCACACTACACTGTACACAGCCTCATAGGATTTATTAAAGAACTCTACCATCATTCCTGCAATTTTGGGTACCAGCTCTTTCAGAACTGGGGATGAAAACCATCCATGATCTCAATCTGAGCACAATAACCTACTGAACAGCTATGATGTACTCCATTTCCATACATTCACTTTTTGTAACGCCTGTCCTCATAGTTGACATCATCATTGCCTAATGCTGAAAGAAAAAACAATAAAATCACACACTTTCAGACCTAATCCGGATTATCCTTGATCTCCATGCCATTCTCAGAGAGGTGGCACATTTCCTCTTTCCTTGTTCTCATTTCAGTTGTTACACTACTGTTTGTTTTAATTTC